GCATTGAGGTGACTGCCTCATTTTGCTGGACAGACATGACAGGAATCTCTAGAATAACTGGAGTGTAATAATGATAACAATGAAATGATTGGCTGAAAAAGATCATGAAATATAGATACTTTGACCTACAGATGCAGGTTCTCTTAACACCTTTAGCAAAACCATGGAACATCATCCCAGGTATCCTGTCAGACCAGGAAACAACACAAATCCTTTGTGTACATTCTAGTCAAAGGGCTGTCTCTGAGACAAAATCCTCTCTAAGTACTGTTAACCACATACATTCAGTCATGCCCTTTCTGGTATAAACTGGATTTTCATGTCAAAAAACTAGGTCTTCTGGCAAAAACTAGGTCTTCTGGCCTTCTCTCCTCCACTCAAAGTCACACACTTATACTAGAAAACCAAACCGAGACCATGTTTTAATCACCTCACTCAGCTCCAACAATTGCCTGTGCCTTTAACATCATCTTGGGGCTTCCTTTTTCTCTCATCTCCCCCACCCTGCAAATCTGTTCCGTAGGGTTTGGGAAAACCCCAAAACAGATATAGAAGGAGCACACAGGGGTGAGGGGAGGAAAGGGAAGGCTAATTCTGTTATTCCAGTGCAAGTCCTTGAGAGCAAACAGGATGAAAACGCCATTTTTAAAAACATAGCAAACAATTTGAAACAATGTTGGTCAATGAAAACTCATTACTTTAAGAAGACACTGAATGGGGAAATTGCAATAAGGCCTTATGGCCAGTAATCTCTTTCCCGCTCCCAAACCCAAAGTATTATAACTGAAAGGCCACAGCTGACATAACCTTAACATTGCTAATTCCAACACTATAACTTTATTGCAGTTTTACAGCCTGTTCCTCCTCCCTCCTTTTCCTTTGCCTGTGGGAACACAGTCTGTTAAATTGATTGGGTTTTTGCGTCCTAAAGTGGCTCAACTCTTCAATTGTGCTGATGTAAAAGCACTCATTCTTCATTAGACAAATTTAAAATAATGTCCTGCAAATAGAAGCATGTGCCTTGCATGTTCCATTTAATTGTCTCTTGGACAGGTATAGCACCTGCCTCACATTCTATGGTTAATGGACCTAATGAGCATTTGAAAAGGTTGCAGGCAGTCCGTAATAGGCACCTATGATTTCATCCCAACAGACAAAATTAACTTTTTTTTTCTTTTCCTTTTCTTTTCTGGTTTTACAGTGAGCCTGAGTGCAGAAGCGCAAACTGGCATTATTGCCACTAGAAGTGCAGTGGCTTTGGATCAAAGTGGGAGAGAACAGATGCACAAGTACACCTACATTTCACGCTTCTGCTGTAATGCTACAAGAGAGATGCATCTGTGCTGCATTGAGATGTGAAAGCTCCAGATGTCGGACAGCTTGCCCCAGAGACAACAGGCAAGTTTTCCTTCAAATATTGTACTATGGCCACTTTCTCAGTCACAGAAAGTTTAGGCAATAGCAGGCAAAGCATAGCACGGAGTAATATGTGTCTTCTCCTAGGAGCTTGGGTCAAAATCAGGGGCCAAATCAGAAGCTGATAGGAAGCTGCCTCATACTGAGGGCTTGCCCACATTCGAGCTAAATCTCACCAGGAATCTACAGCTTTCCTCCAACCAGATTTGAACATATGCTGGTGAATATCAAATCTGCTGGTTCCCATCCATCCCTGTAGGCATTTCCTTTTGTCTTTGTCCCAGATTCAAATGTATTGTGAGTTGGGGTGGGGGTTAGACGGCATGATGCCTGAGTCCTTTTTAATTTCTGGATTCTGCAAGGGTTAAAATTTATTAGAGGGTCCTGTTGTGGAATCAGTCGGGCAAGGACCACAATGGCCCCTAAGTATGGGTTGTTAGTATAAGAAAGGAAGTAGCTTTTTGCCATAGGGGAAATGGATGGACTCCCTGCCTCACCTGGTAGTGAGAAGGACAATGTGTGTGTGTGTGTGTGTGTGTGTGTGTGTGAGAGAGAGAGAGAGAGAGAGAGAGAGAGAGAGAGAGATGGGATGCAGGCAAAAGCCAGAGAGTGACAGCCATGCTTGATTTTCTGTTCTCATCTAGGGCTGTTACTATGGGAGAAGCAAAACTTCCTTGCACTGCACAGAGATTAGGACAGCAACAAACAGGGCATTTTGCACAAACAGGGCATGTGCACAGGAATCAGCTGAGTAGTGCCTGCACCATTTTTTTTTTTAAATTTTGCATATCCAGGAATTGCACAATAGCAGGAACCTGGGAATTCCCAATTCTTTTTTTTTAAATAAATTTTTTTTAATTGATTTTCCAATATTGTTCCAATAGCAGCCTTATTGTAACAATACCAATTTTATCCCATTAATACAATTATCAATTATTCAAATGTGAAATTATACAATTTAATTGAACTTGTCCTCTCACATGCTAGATTTGATGACTTCATTCTTCTCCATTTTTTCTGTGTTTTAAAATTTAAATAATTTCCATTCCATTCAGGTATAATAATCTCTTATATAACAGCTACAGTCTTGTGATTTCTATTCGTGCTGGTATATTAGGTAATTTATAAAGTTTCAAGTGAGGAACTCTAACTGTAATCCTTATTCTTTCCTGCGTGTGACAGTCCCCCCCCCATGATATTTTCCTGTCCATATATGGTGTTGTATCCTTCACTCCTGCAATTGTTGATGGTTCCCGCCATGCCTCGGGAGAAGCGGTCATCCCACAGTTTCCAAAAGTCACTTCATTGCTTCGTCCCGTGATTCGGCTTCCAGTAAACAAGCCGTCTTCTCCATTTTTCCCAGCCGAGGAAGAATGGTCTAAATCCAGACTGCAGAGAGTTAATCCAAAAAATTCTATTCCTGCAGCTGGTAGACTCCTTTCCTCCTTGCCGCTGATTTATGGCCAATTGTCCTTATCTCAAACACATTCCTTTGTGGATAACAGCGGTTAGGGAGCACTTTCTTCTATATTTTCATAGCATAGTGTCCCCCCCTTCCCTCTCAGTTCCTTTCTCTCTCCCACACATTTCCAGTTTTGTTAAATTCCATATTTATATTCCAATTTCTTCCATCCTCACTTGTACAATTTTCAAAAATTAACTTGCATTCCAAGGAGGTTTGCCATATCATAAACATAGAGAAAAACTTTAAATAAGCAAACTGTGGACTCCCCTCCCCTCATCATCTCTTTTACTGAATGAAATCTGCTCTTGGATAAAAAATTGTTTTTATATTTGACATTTGCTGTAAGAATACTATTAGCCCAATGATGGAAGCAAGAAGAACTACCAACAAAAGAGTGGCAGATGAAACTGATGGACTATGCCGAGTTGGCAAAACTAACTGGGAAAATTCGGAACCAGCAAGACCAAACTTTCCTGAAAGACTGGAAGAAATTTATGATATATTTGAAAGACAATTGTAATCAATTGACATCGCTTGTAGGGTTGCAAGAAGTTTTGTAAGGAGAACTATATGAATTATTGCAAAAAAGGACTAAGAAGGAGTTTATTTAGGATTTGGATATTATAGCAATAACTATTAAAATAAAATGCAAAATCAGTTAGAAAAGCATTAGTCGAGGTTGACGGAAGTTGTAGGCTGTGATAGCCAAAGGTTTGTTATATTGTATAAGATGGGATGTTACGTTTGGAAAACATGTGCAAAAAGCAATAAAATTTACACACACACACACACACACACACAGTGGTACCTTGGGTTACAGATGCTTCAGGTTACAGACTCGCTAACCCAGAAATAGTACCTCAGGTTAAGAACTTTGCTTCAGGATGAGAACAAAAATCGCGTGGTGGAGCGGCGGTAGCGAGAGGCCCCATTAGCTAAAGTGGTACCTCAGGTTAAGAACAGTTTCAGGTTAAGAACGGATCTTCAGAACGAATTAAGTTCTTAACCCGAGGTACCATTCTCTCTCTCTCTCTCTCTCTCTCTCTCTCTCTCTCTCTCTCTGTATAAATAAAAAAATTGCTCTCAATCCAAACTTCTTAATTCCTTGTAGCTGGGTTGTTTTTGCAGTTTCTTATCTCATTGTCCCTAGCATGCACCTGCAGTTTACTTCAATTGCAATCCAATTAACAGGATAACCTGTGCTTCCAGGAATGGGATCGGGGGCGGGGCAGGGCGGGTGTTGCAGCAGCCAGAGTGCTCAGCCCACCCAGTGCCTTTGCCTGCCTTCACATTCCATGGGGAAGCGAGTGCCAGACCACCAGGCAAACTGCGGGCAAGAGCCTGGTTCCTTTTCCAACCGAGGAGGAATGCAGAGAATGAAATTCCCCCATCATTTTCTGATTATCTCCGTCTGTCTCTCTTCTGTGGTGTTGGGGGTGACGTCCATTCCCTGGTGCACAGGAAACAGGAAGCTGGGAATTCCCAATTCAATACAAACTTGAGTACACACTTTATGTATAATCCTAAAACAACAGGTATTTCCCAATACAGGAAAATTGTTGTTGGATAAATCAATACGGGACTATATAGTGAAATCAGTAGTTGGGGAATGAAGCAGGGATATCTGGAAAAATCTTTGTTTTTCAGTTTTCCAGTATAGCACAAAATCATTAAAAAGAAAAGAAAAGTCAATAGAGCTCACCGAAAATAGGCATCACCACTGCCAGAGCAGAACTGAGTGTAAGGGCTTGTAGTGTATATGGAAAGGGAAGTAGCAAAAATGGCTGCTTGACCCACTTCCACTAAAAACTGAGGAAATGCATCCACTGTCTCAAATGGAGCAGTCTGGAGTTGTGCTTTTCAACACTTACTGGATTATCCCTGGCTCAGGGAAATACCAATTTACAGGAGAAAACCAGTTGGATAGGAGCTATTTTAGGGGGAGGGGTACGTGACGCTACTCACTACTTAAATGGAAAAGCAAAACACATTAATGCACATTAAACTCAGGTGTGGAAAAGTCCATAGTCAAATCATTGGTCCATCTAGCTCTGCATTGTCTATATTGACTGGCAGCAACTCTCCAGGGTTTCAGACAAGGGACATTCCCATTCCTACCTTTAGATGCCAGGTATTGAACCTGAGAATCATCTGCATGCAAAGCAGACACTGTATCACTGACCTACATTCCTTCTCCGGCTTGAAAGCCATTCTAACTGTGGGCACTTGCAGTAGCTCTGGCACATGGGAGTGTCTGTTCATGAAGTGCCTCTTTGGTTAATGTGTGAAGTAGCTCTTAAAGATGCTCAGTGTGGTTATCTGTCACCAGTTTTATCACGGAAGAGAAACAACAACAACAACAACAACAATGTCCGGGGTCTCTTGTTGGGCATGTGGGCCTTACCACAACATGCTCTTCTAGAGTATGATTTTTGGAGTTGGGAGATGTTAAAATTAGAAAGCTGTTGTGTGAGAGAGACATCACCAGGCAAACATGGACATTAAACAGCAAACAAACAGTTAAAGTAGTCATAAAGCATCTTTGCCATTCTGGACCAGCTGTACACTTCAGCTGCTTCACAGGTGTTGCAGCCCCCAAACAGGTCATCATTGCACAGCTAGTAGCAGAAGCCTTTTTAAAATTGCCACTCTCTTCTTAACACATAGTCAAAATTGCACTATGCTTTTTTGAAAAAAATATATTCAATATTTAAACATTTGAAGCATACTGATGTAAAATGACTACTGTGAAGATTGTTTCCCCCTAAGAAGATGTAAGGTTATATATGCAGCTAAAAGGGCTGATTTTAGCAAAGAATTTTATCCAGGAAAATTCTTTTAAGGCCCCCATAACCTCATGTTTTTTTTCTGAGAAGTGTTGCAGGTTTAGGGGTTTTTTTAGGCCTTTTTTTGTTAAAACAATGTAGACAATATATCTCCAGCATTTTGGGAAGCCTTGATTCTGATGCCCAGAAGACTTTGCTGGTATTATGCTCAGGGTCAATTGTTCCTTTAAACTACTCTTAAAAAGTCTATTCAACATGACAAGCAAATCAATCCACTCACTTCAGGAACTGATGGAATTCTACATTTTATAAAGCATTGCCCCAAGAGTATGAATTGAATAGATGACTTCTTTCAGACCTTTTCAGTGGCACTTTGTTTTATTTTAGCGGGGTTTTGATAAAAGCAAAATGCTAAACCTACATGGCATTGCTAAGCACACATAAGTAGACCACGTGGGATAATGGCAAGGCATACCACATACAACCAAAGATTATGCAACAAATAATAGGTTGTAATAGGAATCATTTAGCATTTTAAAGTCAAGACTGGCCCTTCAATATCACACACTATGTCCAATGTTGTTTGAGGACGTGTGGTTCTAACTGAAGGAGCAAAAGAGGAAAACGGGATTGATCGGCAGCCATACTATAGGGCAGTGATTGGGGGAACCTGTTGCTCTCCAGATGTTGCTTAACTACAGCTCCCATAATCCCTGACCCTTGGTCATGTTTGCTGGGGCTGATGGGAATTGAAGTCCAACAACAATAGCACCTTGAGGGCAATAGCCAGATCCCCAATCTTTGCTTTAGGGCAATGGAGAAGAAAAGAGAATGGGGGACTATTATAATCTTTCAAAGTACACGTGAGAACATTAAACTTTGTTGTCTGGGCAGAATCAGAGATAAGGGCAAAATAATAATAACGGGAGAAAACAAATCCAGCCAAGTGACAGCAATTATAAACAAGAGCAAGGAAGGGAACAAATGTCAACCTAACCCATTTCAATTTTAAGATTACAATCTAGTGGACTTAACTCAGGCACAAAATGATTACAATACGATTTCCCCTTAGGGTAAGTTATAGAAAGAGGTGAAATGTTTGTAATATAACACCTGACAAGAAGACTTCCAAATGCACTTGCCACAGTAGTTATACATTCTCAGAGTAACAACCCATCTATGCTCAAAGCCTCCTGAATGTATATATATGTCAGGCCCAATAATTCAAGTCCCAAAGTTGCTTAGCTTTAGTATGCATTTAAACAGAGATACATTTAAACACGAGGTTAATCTAAAAGTATCACAGATGTCACCAGGAGGGCGTCATCTTGTGGCTGGCTGGGGCCAGCTTAACATTGTATAAGTCTGTGGCCCCTCCCCAGTTTAATCAGATAAATGCCTTGTCACACTGGACTGAAGTTACCAGTTCATCTTGTTTTTATTTTGGTTTGCTTACAAAGCAGTTCATGATCTTACTCTGTCTGCTGTCTCTTTTCTTTCCAGAAAATCTGACTGTGCACACATTACAATTTACTCTGGCTCCAGTGTGCTTCCATTGTTGGTGTTTGAAGCCGAGTACGCATAATGTTATCCACAATCCAGGTTGCCTACCCCTACCATAATGCCTTAGGATTAAGGATTCAACAAAATCCCATCAACGCAAGGATTTATGCTTGTGTGATGGGACTTCCCACTCCCCCCCCCCGCATGCCTCACACCCTTCCCAGATCTGCTCCAGAGGGTTCTGAGAATCCCAGAACAGATTTAGGGAGCACATGGGGAGGAAAGGGAGAATGTTCCATTGTGCAAAAAGAAATCCTTCCACATGCACAAATGCTTCCTGGTTGTTAACTCTGAAATGTAAACTACCGTATTTTTCGCTCTATAAGACGCACATTTTCCTCTCCAAAAATTAAGGGGAAATGTGTGTGCGTCTTATGGAGCGAATGCAGGCTCCTTGGCTTCAGCGATAGCAACGCGAAGCCTCCGAAGCACAGTGGGAGCATTCCTGCTGTGCTCCGGAGGCTTCGCGTTGCTTTTGCTGAAGCCTGGAGAGTGAGAGGGGTCGGTGCGCACCGACCCCTCTTGCTCTCCAGGCTTCAAAGATAGCCGCCCGAAGCCTCCGGAGTGCAGCGGGAGCTCCCGCTGCACTCCGGAAGCTTCAGGTTCCTTTTGCTGAAGGGTAGGGGCCGCTTCAGCTAAGGTGCAGTGCCCCTTCAGCTAAGCGGGGGGAGAAATGGAAGGGGCTCCGTTTCTCCTGCTGCTTCGCTGAAGAGGCGCTGCACAGAGAGGGGGAGAATTTTTTTTCTTGTTCTCCCCCTCTAAAACAAGGTGCGTCCTATGGCTGGGTGCGTCCTATAGAGCGAAAAATATGGTATGTTTGTGCAGCAGCTACGGTTCTCCTGTAGGCCTATCTTGTTGCAAGTGTTCATTCGGTGGTTTTCCTGGTTCGTATAGCTTTGGTCATCAAATAAAAGGTAATCTTAGACTTATTGACTGTTACTGTGTCAAGACCAGTGCTCAAAGTGATGTGGGACACCATCCCACTTCTTTTCAAAGAGACCTGTAACCATCCCACATAGACATAACTGAGTCTCACCTCACCATCTCACTTTTGCCCTCACTCCCACTTTGAAACTATCTCACTCTGAGAACTGGCCTTGCCACAATAGTATTTTTCCTACTTTTACCCAGCCCTCTTTGGAATTATTGGTGAAGGCTGTACAGAACTCATTAGGTTGAAATCCTTGGGTTAAGACAGGATGGGAAATGAACAATGGCTTGTATCCCATGCTAGCCATATTCAGTAAAATGAATGGACACGATTAACTTAGGTCCATTAATGTAAATGGGTCTATTCTGAGTATGACTAAGTTGGATACAACCTTTTAGCTGCAAAATGCATTTGATTTGGAAATGGTTCTCTTCCATTTTCTCTATTTCTGCTACAGAACATTCTTAGCATGCTTGTGGAAATATCATCAACACACAGTTGCTTTTTATGATGTGATAGACCCACTTTTAGTATGCAACTAAAGCAATAATAATTTAACAGCCACCAACAGTGTTTGCTACTAGAAACAGTAAAAAAAAAAGAGTATTTTTGTATATAAAATCATCCATGATGTTTTATTCTCTGTTTGAGCCAGCTATGTATGTTTGCATTGTTCAGAACTGCTGCCTGAAGATGAAATTCAAAATACCACTAGATGTTGCTGTAGGACAGCTGTAAGAAAAATAGAAACCACCCCGAGACTCCACATACTTCCACTAAGATTTTGTTTGAAGCATCATTACAAAGGTTAACTTGAGCTTAGAAGATGTCCTGCTGCTTGAAAATATAGCACGTGTGCATTGGAGCCACCTTTATTTCCCAGCAAACCACACATACTCATGCATTTATGTATTTTCAACTCACCCTCACCAACTGGTCCCAGGGTGGGAATATAACAATAAAACAATGAGACTGTGTGTGTGTGTAAAATAAATAAAACACACAAAATAAGCCAATGACAAACAACTTGAAACTGAGTGACTCATCACATTCCTCCCCCTCTGAAAGGCCTGGATGAAAGGGTGCATCTTCACCCACCAATGAAAAGTCAGCAAAGTAGGTAGGTACCTTTTGTCATCCCATAAGTATGGTGTTGCCACTGGGAAAGCCCTTTCTCACACCACTAGTCCCTGAATTTCACCTAGTGGTGGGACCATGAGTAGCGGTTCCTCTGCATATCATAACACATGAGCAGGACATATGGGAGGAGTTGTTCCTCTAGATGTATGGGTTCCAGGTCATCTGGGGCTTTATATGTTAGCATAAGGACATAGAATTTGGCTTGAAAACAAATTGAAATCATTCAAAAGCTGAGCGTTAATTGTATCCTGCCAGAAGTGCCCATCAACTGCATTCTGCACCAGTTGCAATTTGCAAACCGTTGGAGATGCAGGCAGGCCCAACCTGGCCCTGTACACAAAAACACATATACCATGATGGCTGCATTCAGACAGCACTTTATTCTGTTTTCCTGATGTTTCTTTACCTGATAATTTATGTGTTTTATGTGATCTTTCACATGACATTAAATCCACTTCTGGAAATCTAGCGGAATCCAGAGGAAGTTTAGTGCCCGTTTCCATGTTAATTGCTTCCAGAAAAGAATCCATTTGCAACCCTGTTACCTCAGAATATCAAGGAACAAAATTTGAGGTGGTATCCCAGCATACACTTCCTTTCTGCCACATTTGTGAATGACTCATGGGGGAACAGAAACGCACATATACATGAAGAGTGGGTGGAGGTCACGACACGTCCGATGACATCTGGTGTGTCACACCATGCTCTTAGAATACGTGAATGAGCAACGGTGGCACTTTTTTCCTTGGAGGGAGAAAGCAATCTTA